GCACTTAACAACAACAACAATACGTATATATACATATATATATATTTTTTTTCAGGACTCTAGCTCATTGATAGTTCTACATAATACTTCTTGTTTTTCAGTTTGTGGGCTTGTGTTTTCATCATTTTCATGGTGTCTTTTGAGGAACAGAAGTGACTGATGTTAATCCAGTGAAGTATTATCATTATCCTTTATGTTCTATATTTATGTTTTGTTCAAGAAATCTATTCTGAAGTTATGAAAATGTTCTCCTGTAATAGCATCTAAAAGCCGTATAGTTTTACATCTTTCTGATGAAACTGGAGTAAGAGTCGATAACTGTAGTCTACCTACTGTACTATACCAGTCAATTTCCTGGCTTTGACAATACACAACAGTCACATAAGATACATCCCTTAGGGAGAGCTGGGTAATGGATACAGGAGACCTCTCTGTACTATTTTTGCAACTTACTGTGTGTCTGGAGCCCTGGTGTGGATTACACTGGGCCACAAGGTCAGCAGTTCAAACCCACCAGCTGCTCCTCGGAAACCCTATACAGGGTTGCTATGAGTTAGAAATGACTTGATGGCACTTAAAAACAACAACTGTGTGTCTATGATTAAATAAAAAGGTTAAAAATAAGTTTCTAATCCACCTAAAATTGATTATTGTGAATTGTGTGAACCAGCAAATTAGGTAACTCTTAGCAAATAAGGAATAGAACAGAACTTCCTCAACTCACTGATAAAGTCCAAACCCAACCAATGCCTGCAAAGTCAATTCTGACTCATAGTGACCCTATGCAGGTCAGAGGAGAACTGCTCTGTGGGGTTTCCAAGTCTGTAAATCTTCATGGGAACAGCAACCTCACCTTCCACCCATGGAGTGGCTTGTCCCAATGCTTAGCCCAAAGTGCCCCCAAGGCTCCTTTCAGCCTGACAAAGAAAACAAAAAAAACCTATATCTAGCATCGTCCTTAATAGGGGAAGACGGAATGATAAACAAGGTGAGAGTGTCTGCTGTCACCCCTCATACCAATAGTATGGGAAGTCTAGTGAGACAAGAAAAGGAAACAGAGGTCTACAGATTGCAAGGAGGAAAATCAAACTGTCCCCCATGATCATCTATGTAGAAAATTCCAGGAAATCTACGAGAAAACCTAGAATAAGTGAGTTTAACAATGTTGCATAAGATCAACATACAAATGTCAACTGCGGTTCTGTATATTGTTGTTAAGTGCCGCCGAGTCGATTCCAAGCCATGATGACCCTGTATTTCCGAGGAGCAGTTGGTGGATTTGAACTGTTGACCTTGTTCAGAGTCCAGTGCTTATCCCACAGCACCACACCAGGAGTTTTGTATATTAGCAGTGAACACATGGAAACTCAAACTAAAAATACAGTACTACACTCACTCAAAAAAAAAAAAGAAAAAGCTACATATAAATTAACAAAACATGCACAGTACCTGTATACTGAAATGATTAAAACACTTATGCTAAATAAATGGAGAGACAGACTGCTCATGGTTTAGAAAACTCAATATAACAATTTGGGGGATTCTCTCCAAAATGATATGTAAGTTCAACACAAATCTTACCAATATTTCATACAAAAAGGCAAAGGAATAGAATGCTGGAACAATTTTTACACAGGAGAATAAAGTGGAAGGCATCATTCTACTTGATGGTTTCTTATACTTCTGCACAGTATTCAAGATGGCGTAGTATTTGGCAAAGGGATAGACACAGAGATCAGTGAGAACTCAGATTAGAAAACCCAGAGGTAGACCCAGACAATTACAGCCAACTGATATTTGGCAGAGGTGTAAAAGCAGTTCCATAGAAGGATATTATTCCCAACAGATGGTGCTATGTTGTTGTTAAGTACCGTGGGGTCGGTTCCGACTCATAGTGACCCTGCACATGGTTTCCGAGGCTGTAAATCTTTACGGGAGCAGAAAGCCTATCTTTTTCCCCGCAGAACGGCTGGTAGTTTCGAACTAGCAACCTTAAGGTTAGCAGCCCGATTCATAACCACGACACTACCAGAGCTCCTTAAATGATGCTATAGCAATCGAATATTCAAAGGCAGATAAAGCTTAAAGCTAAACTTCCCTCTTTATATAAACAATAGCTCACAAGAAATCACAGATTTAAATGTAAAGCATAAAATAGCTGGAAGATTTTTGGAACCTTGGTCTCTGAAGAGTTCTCAGACATAACACTAAAAGCATATAATCCATAAAGAAAGAAATAGAGAAATTGGTCTTCAAAACTGAAAACTTTTACCTTGGAAAAGACCCTGTTGAGATGATGAAAAGACAAGCTAATATTAAAGGCTGGCAGAAAATATTTGTGGATCACATCTGACAAGTGACTTTGAACTGTTCTGAAGTAGTTCAGACACGGCAGATGGAAACAAGGGCCTCATGCATGATGTATTGTGCATGAGATAGTGACCCGAGTAGCAAACAGGCAGCAGTGTCCCACTCCAAGATGGCAGGTGACTAACACATTCAAAGCCATGTGGACAGCTGCCAGCTTTGAGTGGAGTACCACTACCTGTTTCCTGTTGTAGGTGTCCGTAAATTAGTTCTGACTCATACAGATCCTTATAGCACAACAGAATGAAAAAAACTGCCTGATCCTGCTCCGTCCTCACAATTGTTGCCACTGTCCATCCATGTCGTTAGGGGGTTTCCTCGTTTTTTGCTGACCCTCTACTTTGCCAAATATGATGTCCTTTTCCAAGGACTGATTTCTCCTAATAACATGGCCAAGGTATGTGAGACAAAGTCTTGCTATCCTGGCTTCCAAGGAGCATTCTGGCTGTATCTTCAAGGTCAGATTTGTTTTTCTGGCACTCCATGGTATTTTCAGTGTTCTGCATCAACACCATAATTTAAATGTACCAATTCTTCATTGGTCTTCCGTATTCATCAGTACTTTTAGTCCTCTTCACTTTCAGCAAGTAAAGTTGTGTCATCTACATATTTGAGGTTGTTTATGAGTCTTCCTCCAATCCTGATGCCACATCTTCATACAATCCAGATTTTCAGATTTGCTCAGCATATGGACTAGATAAATATGGTGAAAGGATACAACCCTGGTACACACCTTTCCTTATTTTAAACCACTCAGTATCCCCTTATTCTGTTCGAACAACTGCTTCTTGGTCTATATACAGGTTCCTCATGAGCACAATTAAGTGTTCTGGAATACCCATTTTTCACAATGTTATCCATAGCTTGTCAATAAGAAAGCACAAGTGAACACCTTTTAGATACTCTCTGCTTATAGCCAAGATCCATCTGATGTCAGCAATTATATCCCTCGTTCCATATCCTCTTCGCCTTCATGTGGTGCTGCAGGATGTGCTGGAATGCAAGGTCGGTTTGAACTGTAAGGTCGGCGGTTCAAACCCACCAGCTGCTCCTTGGAAACCCTATATAGGGTTGCTATGGTTCGGAACTGACTCAACGACAATTAACAACATACAACCATTTTTTAAATTATCTTCAGCAAAATTTTACTTGCATGTGTATTAATGATATTGTTTGATGATTTCCCCGTTCCACTGAGTCACCTTTCTTTGGAATGGGAACAAATATGGATCTCTTCAATAGGCTGGCCAGGTAGCTGTCTTCCAAATTTCTTGATATAGACAAGTAAGTGCCTCCAGAGCTGCATCAGTTTGTTAAAACTAGTTCAATCAGCTTCAGCCTGAACTTGCATATGAGCAACTGATGGTGTGTTCCACAGTCTGCCCTTGGTCTGGTTTTGGTTAATGATATGGAACTTTCCTACCGTCTCTTTCCACAGATATAGTCAGTTTGATTTCTGTGTATTCCATCTGGTGAAGTTGTTGTGTATAGTAATCTTTTATGTTATTTTAAAAAAGGTATTTGTAACGAACAAGTCATTGATCTTGCAAAGTTCTATCATGCAGTCTCCAGCATCATCATCATTCTATCACCAAGGTCATATTTTCCAACTATTGATCCTTCATCTTTGTTTCCAAACTTGCATTCCATTTGCCAGTAATTATCAATACATTTTGATTGCTTGTTTGACCAATTTCAGACTGAAGAAGTTGGTAGAATTCTTTAATTTCGTCATGATTGGCTTTAGTGGTTGATGCATAAATTTGAATAATAGTGGTATTAACTGGTCTTCCTTGTAGGCGTATGGATATTATCCTATCACAGTGTTGTACTTCAATACAGATATGTTCTTTTTGCTGAAGAATGTGATACTGTTCCTGTTCAATTTGTCATTCCTAGCGTAGTAAACCATGTGATTGTCAGATTCAAAATGGCCAATACTATTATTCTATTTCAGTTCACTAGTGCCTAGGATATCGATATTTATATGCTCCATTTCATTTTTGACAGTTTCCAATTTTTCTACATTCATACTTCATGTTTACAGCTGTTTATCTTCATTTTGAGTTGTGCCCCATCAGCAATTGAAGGTCCTGAAGGCTTTACTCCATTTGCATCATCACAGTCAGTTCTACTTTGAGAAGGCAGCTCTTTCCCACTCTTATTCTGAGTGCCTTCCAACCTGAGGGGCTCATCTTCCAGCACTGTGTCTGACAATATTCTGGTGCTCTTCATCATGCTTCAGTATTCAATAATCTGGTGCTGACAGTGTTCCACAGCTGTTCATAAGGTTTTCAGTGACTAAATATTCAGAAGTAATCTGTTTCACCTTCGTTCTAGTCTTCATCTAGAAGCTCAGCTGTCCACTGTGGGTGACCCTGCTGGTATTGAAATTATCTGTGGCATAGCTTCCATAAGCCACCATAGTACGACAGACAGACGAGTGGTGGAGGTGGGATATACTTATGGTCTATTTCCTATTCAGGTCAAAGCCTAAACACAAAAGCTTTGTTTGTCATGCATCTCTTACACTACTCTTGTGTCTGTAGGCCATAACAGAACTGTTTTGAATCAGTTCAACATCCAGCTAGAATATATAACAAAAACTCCCAAAACTCAACACTAAAACCACAGTCAAATTAGAAAATTGGCCAAGAATGTAAACATTTTACTGAAGGTATACAGATGGCAAATGAACACATAAAAAGATGTTCAACATCACCAGTCAATAGGAAAATGAAAATTAAGACCACAATGAAGTATCATTCTATACTAATTATAATAGCTACAATAAAAATAATGACAAAACCAAAATGCTGGCAAAGATGCAAAGAAAACGGATCTCTCACACATTGCTGGTAAGAATGTTAAATGGTACAGCCACCCTAAAAATAAATTGGTAGCTTCTTCAAAAACTAAATGTATTCATTTTCTATCACTGCCTAACAAATTATCATAAATCATAAATGTTGTTAAGCGTCATCGAGTTGGCTCTGACTCACCAATAGGACTCCATGATAAATGTAGCAGCTTAAAATAATTTCTTAGTTCACCATTTTGTAGGTTCAAGTCTGACATGGTATCACTTGTTTTTCTGTTCAGGGTCTCACAAGGCTGAAATCCCAAGTGTCAGCCCTACTGAGACCTCATTTGGGGAACAATCCAGTTCCAAACTCATGCTTGCTGCTGCCAGAATTCCGTCTCCTTGCTGGCTGTCAGCTAGGGGCCATTTAGCTCCTAGAAGCAGCCTTCATGACTTCCTCTGTTTCTGTCATCTACAGCAACCAGAGAAAACCCTGTGTTTTTAAAGGGCACACCTTCAAATGGTCTCCTTCCTATCTTACGGTGAACTGATCTAGGGCCTTAATTATGTGTGGCAAATCCCTTTACAGAAACACCAACATTATATAACACGGAAAAGCCGTGTGTATACCAGAAACAGAATTTTGGGGGCTGTCTCAGAATTCTTCTACTGCATTAAACAAACAGACACTTACCACATTATTCAGCAACCTTGCTCCTAGGTATTTACCCCAGTGAAATAACAGCTTATGTCCTCACTAAAACCTGTACATGACTGTTGGTAGCAGATGTACTTGTAATACTCAAAATCTAGAAACAACTACATATCATACAATTCACAAGCCTGAAGTTAGAACCCATTTTCCCGAGCCACCTTGTCTCTTCTCTATACCCTCCCTTAAGCCTTTCCCTTTAATCAAAAGCAGCCAATTCTTTATCAAGTCCAATTTGCGAGCCCCGGTTGGACCTTACGATGTACCCCAAGAGTAACTGAATCAACATCACCATCTCAAAGGCAAGTACAGTGAACCTGAGCTAGGCTTTGAAATATCTTTTCACCCATGAGGCATCCAAACTCCACCACTGTTATTAAAGTACAAAGCAAACCACTTACTGGCTTTGGTGGCACTCCCATAGTTGCCTTAAGCCTTGGTCAGCCACGCCTTCCAGAATGAAGAGGTGCACCTTCCCATCCAGCAGATGGAAACCAGTCAAAACATCCAGGTCCTGCTGGTCCTGGACCTTTACTCGCACCTTAAAGGCTGACAGGATCTGCTGGATGTTCCTGAGAGGATAGGAGTCCAGCTCAAGGGCTTTGGCATTGATCATGGTGATGTCCTGCAGCAGACTGTGGAAGAGGAAGGTGTCCCTGGAGTCAAACACGAAAATGATGAGGCCAAACTGGGTGCCCACCAAGTCTCGGTCAGGGCCTTCAGCCGTAAGTCGCAGTGGCACTGCAAGGTCCACTCGCAGCTTGAGGAAGGAGTTTGCCTCCAGGTAGTTGCCCATGGGCATTGGGCCATCCTGGAGATGATTTGTTGGAACACGAAACCCCACCACCTTCCTGTTCCTGCTGTCCTGCCCTTGGCCTGTGGGCTTGGGTTTACAGCTGTGGATGGGAACAAACAGGTTCAGGTACGTGTGGCCAAAAAGGAGGTCAGCAAAGCTGACCTGGGCCACCCCGTAAGGATGCCACATCTTGTTGTAGGAGTCAAAGGGGTTGTTCTCTGTCTGCTTGGGAGAGATGAGCCCCTGGAGATTGAGGCATGTATCCAGGGGGTCCTCCCCAAACAGAGTAGGCTTCTGGGAATACTCCTCTGACTTGAGGTCACGGTCATGAACTTCCACCATCATGGGGGGACCTTCTAGGTATTCTTTCAAGTCATGAGGACACAGTGCCCCAAGGAGGATGACATTGATGTCCTGGAAGTAGACGTGGGTTCCATGGGGCTGCCTGTCCGTCTCGTGAACTGGAGTCTTATGGAACTTGTACCTGCAGTACACTGGGGTACAGAGCCTCTACAAGAGAACAGGTCATAGCAGGTCACTCGGCTGCCACAGCAAACACTCCACCTCTGGTAAGGGGGGGCTCCTGGCTCAGTGAGCTCAAATCTCAGTGCCACTCTGAAGCCCCCTGAGCCCCAAGTCTCCTCATGCACAAGTCCCAATAAGAAACCTGTGTTTAAGCTCATTACCAGAGCGGAATGATTAATACTCATGAAGGCTCCAACAGGTGGCTGCCACAGTCAAGGGCTTACTAAGTATTCAGCACTGTATTTTCCCTCGTAAACTATGAAAGTCATGAGGACAGGCCATGTGTGGCACTGTGGGCTAATGCACTGGACTGCAAAGCTCACCAGCTACTCCTAGGAAATCTTATACAGGGTCGCTATGGGTCGGAACCAACTCAACAGCACTTAACATTTCTAGTTCCCAGTCTAAGGTTAAAGAAAACGTCAGCCATACTTCCCCAGTGTACATCTGCAGGGTTGGCACAAACTCACCTTTAGCATGTTAATAGACCTCCAAAACTGAAAGCTGCAACAAGGGGAAGAGTAAACATTCAGAGAGGCCTGGGGATGAAGAGGGCCCTAAAGAACAAGAAGGGAAGGAAGGCCAGAAAGCTGGGAAACTTGCAAGTTTCAACCTTGGTGCTATGATTTCATAATTAAAAGTTAACCCTTATAAAAGTGGTCTGTAGTCATACCTAAATGTACACTTTTACACAAAAGTTGAGAACTTATTTAAAAATAATCCTGGGTTAGTGCTCGTCGGTACCTGGCAAAAGCAATTAAAAATATCTCTGGAAAATGACACCTTAAGCCTACACTGCAAAGGAGGAGGAAAGGCTGAAGATAATAGAATTAACAGTGACATAAAATAAGTATCAGATAGCTTTGAAAACAGAATTGATATGGAGGAACCAGAAAAGAAGAACCAGGAGTGGAATGAAGACTTTGAACCTGCACCAGTTTAAAATGATTTTCCAACTACGGAGTTGTTACTGCTTCTAAATAGTTTTCATTTTGATTATATTGCTAGTACATTCTCACTCTAGTGTCAATAGTAAGTTGAGGTGTTTTAATATTTCTAAAGTCAAGAATTTATTAAAACATGGATGCCTAACTTGAACACACACACACACACAAAGAAGAAAATAGGCCATATGAACACAAAGAGACAAAAAGTTTGAAAATAAAATGTGTGTACAGAATAGGTGCAAAATAAAATATAAACCTGAGCCCTAGACTCTTATGGCACAATAGTAAAAGATTTCACATTCATATTATCATCAGAGTCCCAGGAGGAGAGAAGAAAAAATGTGATGCAGGCAAAAAATACTTGCAGACGTGATGGCTGAACCTTTCAGACAGGCGGAGCAAGATGGCAGCCGAACAGCTGCAGGCTCCCATCTCTCCCTTCCTCCCCCTCACCAAGCACAACACAAAAACACAATGCTATCAGAACTCTGGAAACTATTCAAAGTGTTACAGAAACTAAGTGAACATGGATTCAAGAAAAAGGCAGCAGAGGTTTGGTTTTCAGCCGTCTCCCCACTTCCCTGGCTCACTGTGACTTATCTTACAGTGGTGGCCCGCACTCTCAGAAAGGAAGCCTGAATTTTGGCTCTAGGCAAAAAACATCTGTTAAGTATGTTACTGTGTGTATATTACAACTTGTGCTACATGTTCTATACTGTGTATATGTTGCAACTTGTCTTGGGGTGGCTGAAAGGAGGAAAGCAAAGGTGCATGTCTTGGTTTCGCTTGCCTCACATGACTGCCTGTAGCAGACAGGGGCTAGAGAGTGCCATAAAGATAAGACAGTTGACTGGGAAGAGAAGCTGAAGACACAGTTCCCTTTGGAAATGACTTTCAAAAGCATTGAAAAAGCCATATTCATGTCCGAGGTAAGATGCACATACCAAAATTACCTGAGAAGACCCTATGCTTTCACCTTGGGAGAGGGAAGGGGGGTTACTGGGCTCACTGAAATCCTGTCTAGTTGCTGGAGGAGAATTCCAGCAGAATCAATTTTGCAAAGACTGAAGAGGTTTGTGGTACCATTTTATTTATTGTGCGTGTGTGGGTTTCTTCATTTCTGGCATTTAAAGAAATTTCTGTCAAAACATTACCTGAGCACATAAGAAAAAGAGGCTTCAGTGTACACATCTGTCCAGAAAGACTTAAGGCCTAACAAAAACAACAATAAACAAGCCACTGACTGCCATGGAGCTGATGCTGACTTATAGCACCCCAGAAGGATAGAGTAGAATCGTTCCACAGGGTTTCTAAGCCTGTAAATCTATACGTTTTTAAAGTCTAAAGAAGGTGAAGAATCTGATTTCAAAATCTACCACATAATTTTCAAATATCCTGATTTCAACAAAAAAATCACACAAAAAACAGAAGAAACAAGAAAGTATGACCCGCTTAAAAGAACAAATTCAAGTGGCAAAACTATTCTAATGAACTTATTAGACAAACACTTCAAAACAACAATATTAAATATGCTTAAGAGCTAATCGAAATTAGAAAAAAGAATTGAAGATACAGAAAACAATACAGGAACAAAATGAAAATAGCAATACTGACATAAAATTTAAAAAGGAACCACACAGAAACATAGGAACTGAAAAGTACAATAACTGAAATGAACAATTCACTGAAATAACTCACTTGCGTATTTGAGCTCACCAAAGAGAATCCGTGAATTTGAAAATAGTACAATTGAAATAATTGAGTCTGAAGAACAAAAAGAATAAGCAAATGTGAACAAAACCTAGGGAACTTGTGGGACACCATCAAGTGAACCACATAAGCATCATGAGGATCCCAGAAAGAGAAGAGAAACAGGGGCAGAAAGAGTGTTTGAAGAAACAATAGCTGAATACTTCCAAAATCTGATGAAAGCCATGAATACACACACACATCCGAGTAGCTCAACAAATTCTAAGATAAACCCGAGAGCCACACTGAGATACATTATAATCAAACTCTTGAAAACTAAAGAGAAAATTTTGAAAGTGGCAAGAAAGAAGTGTCACTGCATACAACGAAAGGATCCTCAATTAGAATAAACAATTTATCCTCAGAAATCATGGAGATGAGAAGACAGTGGGGTAACATTTAAAGTGCTGGAAGAATTCTATATTTGGCAAAGCTGTCATTCAAAACTAGGGCAAAATTAAGACATTGCAGATTTTAAAAAGCGGAGGGAGTTCATTACCATCAAACATGCCCTACAAGAAATGCTAAAGGGAGTTTCTTCAGGTTGGAAAAACAAAAAAGGACATTAAACAATAACTCAAAAGTTGTATGAAGTAAAAAAAAAAAAAAAAAAGCTCTCCAGAAAAGGTAATTTTATGGGTAAATATAAAAACCAATTTTATGCTATCTTTGGATTATAACTATTTGCTATGTTCTATGTGATTTAAAAGGAGTCCTGGTTTGCTGCCATGGACAAATGCGTCAGACTGCGAAGTTGTTTGAACTGCAAGGTCGGTGGTTCATGCTCACTGCTATACAGGGTCGCCATGGGTCGGAATTGACTTGATGGAACTTCACAACAACAGCAATGTGATTTAAAAGACAAATGTATAAAGAAATCATAAATTTATGTTATTGGGTACACAATGATTACAGATATAATTTGTAGCAAGGAACAGTATAAGAATAGAGTTTTATTACTGAAGTTAAGTTGTATCTGTTTACATTATAAATTTCATATGGTAAATATAATGCCCATGGTAACCACAAAAATCATTAAAAAACATATGTACAAATGGAAATGAGAAGGGAAACAAAATGGCTCACCACAGACAAGCTGTTTCAGTAATACATTTGTCTTAGTTTCATTAGAGTACCTTCAAAAGAAAATGTTCAAATCAAAACAGTGGCTTCTGAGGAATCTGCTGGGCCAGTTAAACACAAAGGTAGGTAGTACTGGAGGAAATGTTTCATTTATTTTTTTGATGGTATATCCTTTTGATTCCCTTCCAACTACAAGCTATTTAGAAGAGATCCAACAACTTGAGCTGACTGAAGATCAAAGGATAAAATATTTCAATGCAGATAGCAGTCAAAGTTGTTAGGTGCCATCAAGTCGCTTACTAGTAATGGCAACCCTGTATAGCATTTCTAAGGCTGTAAATCTTTATGAGAACAGAAAACCTCATCTTTCTCCCATGGAGTGGATGTTGGGCTTAAACTGCTGCCCATGTGGTTCACAGTCCAGTGATTATCCTACAGTGTAGGGGTAGCTATAGTAATATCAGACATAAGTCAATATATACAAGAGACAAAGGACCTTACAAAATGATAAAGGTTAATACATCTAGATCTAAAAATTGAAAATATTCTGCACCTAATAGTAGCCAAATGGAGCTCTGGTAGCGTAGTGGTTACGAATCGGGCTGCTATCCTCAGAGTCAGCAGTTCGAAACTACCAGTTATTCTGCGGGAGAAAGACGAGGCTTTCTGCTCCCGTAAAGATTTACAGCCTTGGAAACCCTGTACAGGGTCGCTATGAGTCAGAACCGTCTCCACGGCACATAACAACAACAATAGTAGCCAAAATACATGAAGCAAACATTGACAGAAATGGAGAAATAAATGACTCTGAAATAATTGTGACTTCAGTAACACCACTCTCAATACTATGGAGTACATCTCGTCAGTGCCCTTCTTAAAACTCATCAGTGTGAAGCTAAAAGGTCAACAATTTTTTAGAACAAGGATGTAAAAATAAGAGCCCAGGGAAACTAAAGTGCTGGAAAGGGAATAAACAAAACAAAGAGAATATTGGCATTGTGTTAAATGTAACTAACATTATTGAACAATCTGTAGAGAAATCGTGAACCGAGAATCTAAATTGCTGTGGGCTTTTACTGAGCTTTTGCACAGTCACTAGTGCTTACCAGGAAGAAGTTTTAATTAAATTGAAAACTGCATTGGTAAGATAAAGGTCAAGAAGTTATGCCGAATATATATATATTTTTAAATCACAACATGCACCTGCTCATTCTTTGAGAGAAGCAAGGGCTGTTCTGGGACAATTTCCTTGAGAAACCTTACCTCATTCACCCTACAATCCTGGTTGTGTCCCTTCAAATTTATTTCTGTTTCCCAAACTCAAAGACTATCGAAAAGAAACATTATATGAGTCCCTCGAGGATACTCTGATTTTGCTGAACCATGTAAGTTTTGATGTTGTGTTTTCATTTTCATTTTTCTTTAATTGTATTCTAATTTCCCTTGAGATTTCTTTGACTCACTGAATTTTTAAGTGTGTTCTTTAATTTCCACTATTTGTGAAATCTCCAGTTTTCCTTCTGTTATTGATTTCTAGTTTCATTCCATTATGGTTGGAGAAAATACTTATATGATTTCACTATTTTAAAATATATAGAGACTTGCCTGTGACCTAATACACAGGGTAAATTAAAAAAGATCACTATAACATAAAAGAGCAAAATATCAAAATGTGAAGGTGTCAGGCCCCCAGAGGCCCA